CGACGCTCTTCCGATCTCTGGTGGTAATAGTCTCGCTTTTAAGTGAAACGCATGCGGGTTTGCATCCGGTTGGCGCGAAAATTTTTGCTTCGCTCCGTATAAGAGCTTCAACTCTAATTTTCGAAATTCTTCCGAATTTACGGCCCAGCAGGGCAAGTAGATCAAGTATATGACGTACTCGATCTAGTATGGATTTGGTCATATCTGCCCTCTCTGAACATATTACCCATCCGACAATTCGGTTTTAGAAATTCGTTCATGGGAGATTTCGACCCCCTGAACACGAATATCACATCCTTCGACGAAAAAACGCTCGTCTGGCCAAATTGCGATTCTGGGCAAAACTTTGAATTGTCGGATGGGTAATATGTTCAGAGAGGGCAGATATGACCAAATCCATACTAGATCGAGTACGTCGTATACTTGATGTACTTGATCTACTTGCCCTGCTGGGCCGTAAATTCGGAAGAATTTCGAAAAGCTCTTATAGGGAGCGAAGCAAAAATTTTCGCGCCAACCGGATGCAAACCCGCATGCGTTTGACTTGAAAGCGAGACCATTACCACGAGGCCACGGTGGCACTGCCGAGGCATCGATCAGCAGCGCTTACGAGCCAAAACTGGCTTTTCGCAAACTTTGACCACCCAGATCTCGTCTGGGAGGTCAGCACTTTTAATCTGCATATTCGTAATCAGCATTCGAGGCTCTATCGATGTACCTAGGTCTCCATTCAAAGTTCCATGGGAAGTTCAAACTATTCCCGTCCCTATTCCCTTGTCCAGGAGTACGGTATAGTGTAGTAGCACGGTGCGTTTGCACAATTTTATGAGCCTAGTCCACCTGCATCTCCCTTCAACTTCCTCATACTCTACCGGCTGTCTGCTACCCTCCTACTTCCCCATAATCTGTACTCCTGGTCGCTGGTGGACGCTGCCGTTCGCTAGATCGATATCTATACTTTTCTAGTCGCTGACGCTGGTGGACGCTCGAAACGCTGATGGTCGCTGGTGGACGCTGCCGCAAAGTATGAAGGCAACCTATGGTAAGATAGAACGGTGGGTGTTGCATAGTCACAGGTATGCATCGGCACTGGCCGTCGACTACTGCGTTCGCGTTTATAATTTTGAAGCGCTGTTGCAATTATGGCGCGCCGACGGGAGACCTGAACGCTGTTTTCGAGCGCGATTCAGAAGATTCGAGCTGCGTAAGGCGGCAAAATCTGCGTCACGTACGCAGCATTTACACACTTATTGTTGTGACGTGGAAGCGCTCAAGTAAGTAAAACCATCAAGCTACGAACAAGATACTGCAGGCACTGAACTAATTTCTGCAAAATCTCCTCGCCAAAATCCGGACCTCCAGTATCCATTGGTTTTAAGTCGCCCACCCGATGGAATATATTCTTAGGTGCTGTCAGTAGAACATAAATTCTAGGCCTTGTACTTACAATGTTCGTCCGACTTGCCGTACTCGTGTTACGACGGTGTTTCATATCGGTCTTCTTCTCTGGTTCTTCAATCGATATACGAACATCTCGCGGCATCGTAGTTGGATCAACACGGAATTTCCGTGCTTCAGCATTAGAAGCTAGCTGGAAAGCGTTTTCATCGGCGAAAAAATTAAAGTATAGACATCTTCAGCAATCACTAAATAGATCTGACGAGGGTAGCTCAAAAAAGACACATCAAGGTGTTATAGAAACTTCACTGACCTTAACTTGCTGACAGATGTCAGGATGCCAGTGGCTAAGGAGAGCCATTAGTGCGGTTTTTCTCTTGTTTTTCTCAGCAAACTCAGGAATCAGTGCCAGAGTAGAAGGCGGTTGCTGAGCCAACCTCTCCGCAGATTCTGGTAGGGCACACCACCTGAACAGTCCATAATAAACTCTTACTGCTCTATGTAGTCAAATCATCTCGGATACACACTGCCTGATTAGAGACACAATTTGCGACAACTGAATGGACGAAGGGGCAGGGGAATTCGTAATCATTGTGCCACCCCACAGCTCGCCCCTCCTCCCCGCACTAGAAAGAGGGGCGCACCGATGAGGGAGGCGCCACAAAGCCTATGAACCTCCGCCCGACATCAAGTGTAAAGGTTCTGGAACTTGAGGGACAACTTAAAACAAATGAGTTACAATAGGAGGCGATATCTTTTGAAGGCAGTTGGCACGATGATTTGGTGCTCGGCCTAAATGCTAGTAGGGCGCTATATAGTGGGGAAATGGCGAAAGAACGGAGTGAAACGGTCAAAATCCTGCGAAGAAAGAGCCTCCGTTCTCAATGTGTTAGTAAGGCTGCGTTTATACTTTGCGGCAGCGTAGCGTAGCGTAGCGTAGCGCTTCCAGCGTACGCCAGCGGCAGTGCCGAAGAGAGGATGCATATCGATCTAGCTTCACCAGCGTCACCAGCGGCACGCTGGCGTACGCTAGCGTGCGCTAGCGGCACGCTAGCGCACGCTGGCGTAGCGAGGGCACGGGAAGCATAGCTATCGATCTAGCTTCACCAGCGTTTCTCGAGCGTTTCTCCAGCGGCACCAGCGTTTTGCTAGCGCTTGCAGCGGCAGGGAGTAGAGACTATGTGGCCGTGAGAGACGCGGAATCGACGTGTATTGTAGAGACCATGTGGCCGTCGGAGACGCAGAAGCGATGTGCATTGTAGAGACTATGTGGCCGTCGGAGACGCAGAAGCGATGTGCATTGTAGAGACTAAGGGCGAGTGAGAGACGCGCAATCGATGTGTTTTGTACCCTCCAGCTCTCCCATAGTCTCTACTCCCCTGCCGCTGCAAACGCTAGCAAAACGCTGGTGAAACGCTGGAGAAACGCTGGCGTACGCTAGCGTACGCCAGCGTGCCGCTGGTGACGCTGGTGAAGCTAGATCGATATGCATCCTCTCTTCGGCACTGCCGCTGGCGTACGCTGGAAGCGCTACGCTACGCTGCCGCAAAGTATAAACGCAGCCTAATGATTTTGGACGAGTTTCCTATAGGCATCTTGCCAATAATAGCTACGAAGGTACGGCTGCATATGTGTACTCATATATCCATGCAGCATCACGGCCGCTTCATACCAATCCCTTCGCTTCATAATTTGCTTAGCAAATGAATAATTAGAGCGTCAGGAACGGTCGTCCATTTGTGGGCGGGCGGGCGTTTGGGTCGGAATGTTGTGGCTTGATAGGGCCCTTATAAGGGCACCTCCCTCGGAAAAAGCATTATGCAGCGCCTGCTCATGTCGCAGAATTCCCTCCTATTAATCCAATCGTCTGGGGGGATATATTGTGCCAGCTGCCTCTGAACTTGAATTATTAAATTCAATTCAAGCATATGAAGTGTTAGACGAAATGTACGGAGCACACAGGCTATGCCCCGTCTACCGTGGGTGGGAGTGGATCGAATAGGCGGTGCTCAAGAATCCATGGCTTGGTCCATGCTATTCTAGAGATAAGAAGACTTCATTCGAATTGAATCTATCTGACAACCGCAAAGACACACCCACAGTGTTGGAACGGTCGTCCATTTGTGGGCGGGCGGGCGTGGCGGGCGTTTGGGTCGGAATGTTGTGGCTTGATAGGGCCCTTATAAGGGCACCTCCCTTGGAAAAGGCATTATGCAGCGCCTGCTCAGGGTCGCGAAATTCCGAACTCCGCAATGACCGATGGAAAACGGGATTTTGTGCGCCAAACCCATACCCGCTGACATGTCCCCACTGACTAGTGATAAGAATTGTGGCAGCAACTGAATCTGAGTTTACCTTAACACTGTATGCAGCAGTAAACATGAAGGACAGCTAATCTGATGTGCACCCAACTCCGTCACTTTCAACATCACACATCGTCCACTTTTAGCGTAGAAAATACGATCGTCTGTTGAATCCAGAGCCAATTTGAGTACTTGGGCTAAAGTCATGTCCACCGTCGATCCCCAGTTCTCTTGGAGCTGCAATGCAGGTCTTTTTTCACGTGCATTTTCATTAATGTTAAACGTCGTTAATGTGGGTGGCATACGCCGACAAAAACTATAATTAACCAGCCACTAAAGGGCGAGTTGGGATTGGGCATGACAACCGTGATCGGCTGCTGTCCCTCCCACAGCATTCTACGGCGCTAGAACGAACCTCCACAACGGTATCGGTTACTTTCTTTGACACATGCAACCATGTGGTCAAGCATGGCGATAGAACGTCGTACAATGGGAATTCATTCTTTCCAGTCATTTCCAGCGGTCGTGGCATCACAATTAGCGTATTTACTGCACCGATTTCAATCTAAATACGTATGATCTTTAAAAGCAATGATAGCCAACTCAAGGGTCCCTTCAGAGACTCTGAATACCTTCATTTTGTACATATGAAGAGCGTTTAAAGATGAAAGCGTTGAGGCTCCTTTCTCAGCTGGATCACGATTCACAGTTTCTGGGCTACAATT